ATGACTGTACTGTACTGTATATACTTGTGACACTGGCCAGTTGCTTCTGGTGTTATGGTACAGGGGTACCAAGTGACAGCACTAGGATCCCGCTTCCTTTATCAAGGAATAAACAATTAAAATTTAAATTGAAAAAAAAAAAAACATTCAAATAATGGGACGTAGCAAACCTAAATGCCCCTAGAGCGGGCACAGTCACGTATGCATCGCGTATTCTTATAGATTGTGCTGCCAGGCGTACGTGATCTAGTGAATTTAGTCAATACTGTACAGTAACAATGGACCTAAGTGCAAACCTGTATTGTACATGTACTAAATGATTATGGTACTAAAATTGTTATGTCTATTGCAAATATAGCTTGTTTATACAGGTATTCAAATAAATTACTATCTTACAAGAATCCAAGCTATGTAAGTTATATTCACCCAGGTCATTTGGGTGGCAAATTATGAGAAGAGCTTAGTCACTCTTAAGTAATGATAAATAAACACCCAGGCCTTCAGCGCCAACTGTCAAATCTTATCTCAAATAAATAAAGATACTCTGTCACCTCACCTCACGCTCGGCTGGCTACCTCCCTTCCTGTGTTCCCAGACAAAAGATTGGTGATTTCTTTATGTTTATTTTATATAATATCTGAGACTAAAGCTAGGATAATATAATTTGCATTGCTGAAATCCTTGCAAGACAGAGATTAATTTTAATATAAGCGTCATATATTTTGCTCAAGATATAATAAATGTAGTACATTAGTGAACAGTACTGTAGTACATTTTATAAAAAGTTTTTCAACTGTATTTTTGGGTAGATTTACATATATTTCTTCATTTATTTTCATCCATTTACATGCACACACCATACTAAAAGAAACGTAAAAGAAATAAATAACCTTAGTGCAACGCTGGAGTGTACATGTACTAATTTCATTACGGTACTACAATTGTTATGTCTAGTGCAAATTATAGGTTGTTTATATTTAAATTAATCACTATCTTACAAGAATCCCAGCAATGTAAATTATATTCACCCAGGTCATTTCACTGGCTTTTTATAAGAGAGAAGCTTAGTCACTTAAGAACTGATAAATAAACACACGTTAGACCTGGGCCAACTGTCAAACGTACTACCTCACCTCCCGCTCCCCTCCCCCCCACACTCGCTCCCTCCCTCCCTCCCATCTGCCCAGCATTGCTGGAATCCTTGTGAGACAGTGAATATTTTTAATATAAACGTCATGTATTTTGCACAAGAGATAAAAATTAATCACCTGTATCACATTACAGTAGTGATTTAAGAGTAAGAGTGTATATGTACGCATATAGTATTCCACATACACGTAAGTAATAAATAAAAAGTTTATGTGATGATCGGACAACGCCCATTTCGGTTAACGTCACATTTTCAAGAACGTATCTAGGACGTTAACCGGCGCATGACTGTATAAGAGAAATATCAATAATATTAGGTTTTTTAACACTTATGTTAGTAGAAGAGATGGCTGGGCTCACAGGGATGGGTGGTTGGTTCTGTGGCAGAGGGCAGATTATTGGCCCTCACCTGTATCTTTTTCCACCACAGAGGCTACCAGGGCCACCTCGTCAAACCCCTCAAAGCCCATATTCTCACTATCACTGACTTGGGCTGGCTGTGGTGGTTGGCGGGTGAAGAACTCGGTGATGTTTTGTTGAGGACTAGCATTGATGTGGTCGTGATACTGCTGAACATAGGGCTCCAGGGATTGCAACAGAAGATTATTAGACACTTCGTAGCGATGATTGCCTGTGTCTTTGGCAAGGATGAACTTCATTCTCTCAGCTAACTCGATGACATCCTTCACATCAGCATGTGTTAGTTTCTGCTCTTGTTGTTCTGTTCCACCACGCTGCTCACTGATGTCATCAACTTCCAACATCTCGTCTGCAGTCACCTCAGGTTGCCTGATTACCTCCAGGATGTCGTCGTTTGTGGTCTCGGAGAAGCCTGCAGCTATAACACTTTGTGCAGTCTCTCTTGCATTCTCCAATGCCACAGCAACTGACTAAGCCTCGCCAGCCACTGCTTTACCTCATGGCTTAAGGCACGTCGCACATTCTTGGGCTTGGGGCGGCTTGGGTCAGGTAGTTCAGGGCTTCTCGGGGGTGGTGGGGGTCCATCTAAATCCATTGTGTAGAAAGAAAAAAGCCCTGGTTCCTGGGCACGAGTGAATATACTCGGGGACAGTGAGACTGACGCGGCGGTGGAGAGCGTGGGTGGCAGGGGTGGCAAGGATAACTAGACCAAACACAGCATGCGGCGGAGGGGGTAAGGATACGTGGCCCAATCACAATCTGCGACGTCACCGGCGCGAGTCTGACGTCAGCGCCCAGCACCTTGCCCTGCTGCTTGCCGCATATATGATGGAAATAATAATTATCTCTTCTGACAGGTGCTGCGTAAATAGCCTTCCGCGTAAACCCAGACTATACTGTACAAATTTTTCAACTTCATTTTTGGGTAGATTTACATAAATTTCTGGGTGTCTCTTTATCTTCTCAGCACCACGAGAACTCTTACATTTACGCTTGCCAGCCATTTTAAAGGGAATTACAAACGAAAATTTTTTCTGTGTACTGACGTTGGGACTCAAAAATACATAATTTGAATTTTTTTTGTACAACTGCGGCGGTCGTATGTCCCAGTGGTCATAAGTTGAATAGGTCGCAAGTCGAGGAGTACCAAGATGATTTATCCTCTTGACTTTAACCTTATCTTATGAAGAAAACATTATTGCAGTCAATGGGAATTCTACCCAATAAAATTATATACAGTATTACCCCGCTTTACGCGGTTTCACTTTACGCGATTTCTCATATACACGGTGCCTCGCCAGATCCGAACTTTCACTTTACGCGGTTCATCTACCCATATACGCGCAGAGTGTCCGGCTCGACGCTATTTTTAGATTCGCCCCACCCGCCTGCTCCCGCCTCCTCCCTCCTCCGCCTGGGCAAGCTGCGCGGTAAGGTTGCACAGTGCATGTCTCTGTTGCGTTATCACTGACGTCATATGACGTATCGGACTGTGATTGGCCATGCATCCCTACCCCCCTCTGCTGCTAGCTGTAATTGGTTTAAAGTAATATGACGTGTCCACCTGGGGAGGGAGGGAGGGAGGAAAGACGACGCTTGACCTAGCCGCAACAGTTTCATCCCTCCAGGCCCCGTATGCCGACCCATCTCTTCTACTAACGTAAGTGTTACACCTAACTTTTAGTTTTCCTAACCTAACCTTTATTTTTCCTAACTTAACCTTTATTTTTCCTAACCTAACCTCTTCTATATTACTTGTTTGTGCATACCATCATAAAGTTAAGATAAAATTTTTACTACAACATAGTTGTGTGTCGTCAAAAAGTGGAGTTTGGGGGTCGGGCCAGTCTCTATTGGAATTAATCCCATATGTTCTGTTGTTCCATTTACGCGGATTTCACTGTGTGTTCAATTGACCGCGTAAATCGGGGTACTACTGTATAAGTTTGAATAAACCTTGGCTCCTGTGAATAGTGTTGCCAGAGTGGCTCCTGTGAATGGTGTTGCCAGAGTCGTTCTTGTGAATGGTGTTGCCAGAGTGACTCCTGTGAATGGTGTTGCCAGAGTGACTCCTGTGAATGGTGTTGCCAGAGTGGCTCCTGTGAATGGTGTTGCCAGAGTCGTTCTTGTGAATGGTGTTGCCAGAGTGACTCCTGTGAATGGTGTTGCCAGAGTGACTCCTGTGAATGGTGTTGCCAGAGTGACTCCTGTGAATGGTGTTGCCAGAGTGGCTCCTGTGAATGGTGTTGCCAAATTGGCTCCTGTGAATGGTGTTGCCTGAGTGACTCCTGTGAATGGTGTTGCCAGATGGCTCTTGAATGAGAGTGGTGTTGCCCAGAGTGACTCCTGTGAATGGTGTTGCCATGACCTCTGTGAATGGTGTTGCCTTTGTGAATGGTGTTGCCAGAGTGACCCTGTGAATGGTGTTGCCAGATGGCTCTTGTGAATGGTGTTGCCTGAGTGGCTCCTGTGAATGGTGTTGCCAGAGTGACTCCTGTGAATGGTGTTGCCAGAGTGACTCCTGTAATGGTGTTGCCTGAGTGGCTCCTGTGAATGGTGTTGCCAGATGGCTCTTGTGAAATGGTTGCCAGAGTCGCTCCTGTGAATGGTGTTGCCAGAGTGGCTCCTGTGAATGGTGTTGCCAGATGGCTCTTGTGAATGGTGTTGCCAGAGTCGCTCCTGTGAATGGTGTTGCCTGGAGTCGCTCCTGTGAATGGTGTTGCCAGATGGCTCTTGTGAATGGTGTTGCCAGAGTCGCTCCTGTGAATAGTGTTGCCTGAGTGGCTCCTGTGAATGGTGTTGCCTGAGTGGCTCCTGTGAATGGTGTTGCCTGAGTGGCTCCTGTGAATGGTGTGCTGCCTGTAATGGTGTGCCTGAGTGGCTCCTGTGAATGGTGTGCTGCCTAAGTGGCTCCTGTGAATGGTGTTGCCAGAGTGGCTCCTGTGAATGGTGCTTGTGAATGGTGTTGCCTGAGTGGCTCCCTGTGAATGGTGTGCCTGAGTGGCTCCTGTGAATGGTGTTGCCTGAATGGCTCCTGTGAATGGTGTTGCCTGAGTGGCTCCTGTGAATGGTGTTGCCTGAGTGGCTCCTGTGAATGGTGTTGCCTGAATGGCTCCTGTGAATGGTGTTGCCTGAGTGGCTCCTGTAGAATGGTGTTGCCTGAGTGGCTCCTGTGAATGGTGTTGCCTGAGTGGCTCCTGTGAATGGTGTTGCCTGAGTGGCTCCTGTGAATGGTGTTGCCTGAGTGGCTCCTGTGAATGGTGTTGCCTGAGTGGCTCCTGTGAAATGAAACAAACCATGACTGAACTGTCTGATTTTGACAGGAATGAACCATGGAGCTTTACTAGAAAGAGAAGGTAATTATTAACACTTAAAGGTGTGTTGCAACTAAAATCAGACATTGGTCAGTGATGGTTTGTTTTCTTTCACAGGGGCTGAGGAGGAGCTGCTCCTGCAACACACACAACGGTGATGAGTTATGTTTGTTACCTCCAGTCATTTAAGCTATGCAGAAAGAGCATAAAAAAAATATAGACTGAAATAATGCTACATTATCTGCTTATAAAAAAGTTATGTTCTATTGAGTGGAGATGGCTGTAAAGGAATAAAACACGGTAGTGGCATCCTACAGTTCTGTTCTGTACCGAGATTACGTAAGAAATACATGTTTGGTTTTCATCTTCATATTTGATAAGCTTGCTACACACTCAATTTTTTGCTCAGACTTGTCTGCATAAAAAAGCTTTCATAAACAAACCTGAACTTTGTGTTTTCCCTCCACAGTAAAAAAATGTCTTCACAAACAGCTCAGTTTGCTCATAGATTTCAGAAAAAGCATGTTTAGGGCTGCTATCTATTTGTGCTCTGGTACGGTAATCTTTACTTTTTATTTTCCATAATGTTGGCTTGTTATGTTAAATTTTGATATGAATTCATTAGGAAAGTTGCATAAATTGCTGCTGCTGCCTTGCAGGGTTGCTCGTGTCCAATGTAGACTATACAGTAATAACATACAATACTACTTATCTGAATAAAAACCTGGTATGTCTCCTTTATTTTTATTTCTTAATACAGTAAAGCCTCTGATAACAACGGTTCGACCAACAACTTTTCATATTTAAAACCTTCGTTAATTTAGGATCCAATTCAATTTATGTCCTTATTTCATTCTCATTTACAACCAAAATATAATAAAAATAAAATAAAAAAACATTTTCATATAAATAATAACTAAATTCCAATATGTATAATAAAAAAAGAATTACTGTAAAAAAAAATGAAGAGCACCTAGCACAAAGAAGCTGCCTTGCTAATGAGTGGTAAACAACAGTCGGAGCTTGGCGGGCCTTTTGTTTTCACACATCTGGAACAGGAACAGGAGAAAAACTTTCTCAGGTTTTTTGCAGCATTTTTGCATCCTTATTCAGCATGAACAAGTGATGGTAGTGTTGTTTCAAAAAATAATAGAAAGTGTATAAGCCTAGCCGAGAAACTAGATGTGTTAAAACGATATGAAAAAGGCGAGAGATCTTTGGATATTGTGTGGAGCAAGCAATGAACATATTTTCTGAAGTGGATCCATTAACAAAACAAAGTATTAAAATTTAAATAAATGCAAATGACCTCTACATAAAGATGTATAATGAGAAAAGAAAGCAACTGTGCAAGGTTCTTTTGACAGCTTTATTATTCGAAGGCCTAAACCATCAACTTCAGCTACACCATCAAATTCAGCATCATAAGCAGCTTCAACATCAACTTCAGGTTCAGTAGCAGTTTCAGCTACAGCTTTATGGAAAGCTACAGCTTCAACCAGAGTTGAACCTACAACTTCAGCCAGAGTTGAACCTGATGACTTCATCATCTGAGTAAAAACTCGCACAATATTCATTGGATGTCCTTATGTTTTAGACTTTACCACCATTGGTGAGTAGAATTTTTGTTTTACATTTGTAAATATTATTTAAAACATATATGAACAGTAAATAATAAGTGTTGCTTTCATATTCATATGTAGAGAAATGACGATATGTTTTCACATGTACGTACTAACTGTTCATACGTTGGCGTTCCCAATCGTCTCGCTTTATTTCTTTACCATTAGTGGTTAGTTACCTCCAGTGTTCCATTTAGTGTATTAACATTAAATAACATAACTCAAAACATACATACAGGTATTCAATATTTTTGAATTTAAGTTCACTAAAACTACAACCAGGGTCTTATTTTCTTCAGTTTCTTATGTAGAACCATCGTCACTCACGAAAACAATGCTGTCTTGTCTCCTCTTGTGTGTTTTAATATTCTACGTATTATTAATGAATTGCCTTGTTCATTTCACATATATAAACATTAATTTAATCTAATACATATTCAGTAATAAACAATAATGAATCTTTTGTACATATTCTTAAGATAAATAACTATGTTTCCTTGAGTGTGCACATATACATTGGCTTTCCACTATCAGTCTCACTTTTCTTTAATATCAGTGATTACTTCTACTGTACATTAAATAACATTAATTAAAATGTACATATTTTTTACATTTATTTTACTACAACAACACCCAGGGTCTCATTTTCTTCAGTTTCAGGTGGATAACTGACATTAAGGGTGTAAACACTGACAACAATGTTGTCTCTTATTCTCTTGTGTGTTTTAATATTCTACGTATTATTAATGAATTGTACAGTCGGCCCTTAACAAACGCGGGGGTTACATAACAGAGATACCCGTGGATGTTAAAAATCCGCGTATATGTGCTGCCCCAAAAAAAAACCTGGTCCCCCATGTCCTTATTTACCGTATATACCTGTGTATAGTTCAAGTTTTAAAGACCAAATTATTTGGCAAAAAATTGGGGGTCGACCTCTAAACGGGTAATAGTTTCATTAGGTTGAAAAATATTTACCAGTAACTCCCAGTGAACAATGGAAACGATGCAACAACGCACCACCAGCTGTGAGTGTCGGTACAGTTGCCAGGGCACATCTCTTGCGTCGTCATTGCAAGCCCAAAGTACCCAAATCCATGGTATGGTAGCACAGGACGATGTAAAAACAAAGTATTCATTTATTAAAGTTTATTTATAGATGCTGCACATAAATTTTTGTTCATTACATTTGAAACATCAATCTTTGTTAATTAAATTTGAAACAAAAGAAAACTACGATACTGTATTTTCATTAAAATATTACATCACAAGTATATTTTACCTTAACTGTGACTGAATGAATATAAGTATTCTCAGAAATAAATATGGAAATATAATATTTTTGCTGGAATGACGTACATATTACAGTGGAAAGACGAAAACAATGACTTTCACTTTCTTTCGTTATTCAAAAGATTTTACCGTAATCGCTTTTCGAATGGTTTTCAGTTAAAAAAACTGTTGTACTTGTACTGTATTACAATAATATTCTATCTTATCATTAGCCTTATAATCCCACAACTGAAAACCATTCGAAAAGCGATTACGGTAACATCTTTTGAAGGAAAGAAAGAGAAAGTCATTGCTTTCGTCACAATTTTATCCCACTTTCCACTGTAATACGTACATCATTTCAGCAAAAATATTACATTTCCATGTTCTCAGAAATAAATGGTAGTTTTGTTGAAACGTAATGTACAATATTTAATATTAAAATGCAAAAATAGCTATAAAAGCAATTAATACACCCGTAATGTACTGGCTGGCATCTCCACTCATCCCTGCTCCCGCGTCCAAGGTCACCACTCCTCCCAATTCGCTCCCTCCGCTCCCTCCTCACCGTCACTACTGCCGACAATGAACACAAATGTTTTGTGAATAACTGCACCTCCACTTCCTATGTACAGTACTGAACTGTACTGTGCTGTGCATTTTTACAAACAATAAACATGGCAAGAAAAGCTATTAAAAAAAAAGAGATAAAAATTTCACTTTACTGTACCGTACCTATCCTCGGCGACAGGACGGGTGTCATCGGGCTCATCGTCACTCAATTCCATAACAGGTGGTGAAGTGGGGGCGACGGTGGATTCAGCTGCTTCCTCACTGCCGCCAGTGATTGATGGTGTTAAATCTCTCCTTCGGTGATCAAAGAACATGGTGATGGGGGAGTTGTTGTCTCTTTCTTTCATTTCTTCCATGATGTTTTTGTATGGAGCGAAAACGTCATCCATCCCTCGCATGAATTTCAGGGCACTCACCATGGAGGGGTCCATACTATAGGCCAGGTTTTTCAGTGCCTCAATATTCCTGGTCATCTCCCCCAACTTCTGCAACGTTATTTCTTGGTGCTCTTCCTCATCATCTTTCCCTTTCGCTTCCTCTTCCTTGCCTGAGTCTACTAACTCCTGTAGATCCTCCTCGGTCAGCTCAGTGTCGTGCTCTTCAATTAGCTCCCTAATCTCGTCCTCTGCCATGTCCCGGAAGCCTTCAGCAGCCACTTTCCTTGACAGTGCCAGGGTCTTTCTGAATATTTTCATAAAAAACCATCAAAATCATTTTCCTTGTCATCATCTTAAGCACCAAACAGCTCCTCCCAGTCTTCTCCTTGAACAGGGCTAGAGGGTATGTGTTTTTCGAATCGTTTTCAATTAAAAAAAAGTTACACCACATGTATATTTTACCTAAACTGTGCCTGAATGAATATATTCTCAGAAATAAATAGTAGTTTTGCTGAAACGTGATGTATTTCAATGTAAAATAGGATAAAATACATGATGAAAACAAAAAACTTTACCTAACCTTCCAATGTTCAAGAGATGTTACTTGTTTTTTTAATAGTTTTCGGTTAAAATACTGTTATATTACAATGATATTATATTCACACTGTGCTTGATATACTACATTCACGGAAATGTAATATATTTTTGCTGAAATGACGTACGTATTAGTGGAAAGTGGGATAAAATCGTGACGAAAACAATGACTCGCTTTCTTTCGTTCAAAAGATGTTACCGTAATCGCTTTTCAAATGGTTTTCAGTTAAAAAAAACTGTTGCATAACAAGTGAATTAGGATACCGTATGTCTCGGCCTATAAGGCGTCGGGGTGCATAAGACGGCCTCCCCAAATTTCCATTTAAAAAGTAGCTTTTGAGCTCTATTCGCTGTATAAGACCAGTACCCCAAATGTGACACTTACCCACTGACTCAGTAGTCCTCTACCAACCATCCTTGGTTTTTTAAAATAAGGCCAATTCACTTCAAGTAATGTCATCAAATGTTACCCGCTGGTATAGTGTAAACACTAGTGACGTCACTGAAGCGTCTGCTATTTACCGGTAACTGGAACTAATGTCGGTGTCGAGTAAAATTTTTCCATTTACTTGAAATGGATTTACCGATTTATTTGTTTATTTATTTATTTATAATATACTGTAACATATTAAACACACTGCAAGTATTTTCTTTAATTTATATGCTTGCTTCACACGAGACGATCGGTGGTGGGAGTGTTACCTCGTCTCGGTGGTGGGACTGTGTTCCCACTGTTTACCGTACTTTTTTTTTAGTAAGTTCTTTTTTGTTATATTTTTTACTAAAAGTGTTATTTTATGTGGATAAAAATGTTACAATGGACTTAAAACTATAAAAAATCAACTGAGCATGCTTGAAAACATACATATCGACACCAAGATCACCCAGATTGACCAACTACATCAATTTCTATAAGAAAAATCAACTTTTGAAGGTCAATATGGCGGTCATCTTGAAAAATGGTCGCCATCTTGGATTTTTAAATGGTCAATCAGGCAGACTTGACTAGTAACCATTAGAGAATTACCATGCCAAATTTGGTGCTTGTACCACCATTTTCATGATTCTCTTGAAAAATTGCATTTAGCTGCCCCACTAATGTCACCACTCCCATCTCAACATGACACTCATATACTGAAATATTGTATTTCATACTACATATGACTTTACAAAAAGAAATGTCCACGTCTGGTTAAATAACTCTTGTAGATATAATACCAGTTGAATAAACGAAACTAAAAAACTGGAGATTGTAATTACAGTGAAGCCTTGACAACTCCATTATGAAGTTAGGGA